TAGAATGAATAATAGAGGACCTTGAACATGTAAAGAAGGTCAATAACTTTGAACCTTCAAACTATAAAGAAGGTTATGATATCCTTGACGTTTAAAGTCGTAATGTTGTCCAATGTGCATGAATGATTGACTTAGGGATAGGTTGGTTTGAACATCATGAAGCCAAATCTAAGAAAGTCATTATGCTCTCCTTATTTGCCATTGAGTGGCATCCCTATTGGACCCATCTTTTGTAGGGGTATTATTGTTTGGTAGGACTAAGAGACCATACCTTTTCATATGCCTTTAGTTAAACAAACTTACTCTATGAGAACATGGCTAGAATCTAGCGAATATGCTTGTGGTAGTTGCTCTACGTGAGAAGGATACTAGAGTACAAAGAAGCCCTTGATATTGCTTAACCATGTGCCTATATGCAATGTGTCGTAGTTATACCCTTGGCAAGTAGAAGACCCTCAATCTGAGTAGGTTAGATTCCGGATTCTATGCCAAGCTAGCATGGTCTATTTAGGTTAATGACTATTCTCATCATGTGGGATGAATTCTAGTGTTGGAGAAGTTCTACAAAGTTTAGGTAGTGGAATGCGATGCTATCTATACATTGCACGAGTAGGCTTTAAGGATGCTAGGATTAGGGTTCCCTAGGTTTTCCAAGCCCATTTTTTCAAGTCTTCTAAATGTGAATGTCTCTTAAGTGTCGCAATGACTATTGATAGACTTATGTTGATGCATGTCAATGAAAAGTTACTCATGTATTCTAGATTTCAAGATTTCTTAGGTAGTCTTGAAGAAGGTGTATGGTCGGTCTCTTCATGTCTTACTTAGGTGAGTTTTAGAGTAATTCTAGGTAGGGAGTCTAATGATAGAAATGGAATAATCTTTTCTTAGGTAGTCTTAACGAATATTTAGGTGTGATTGAAGAGGGTGTATATGCGGTCTCTTCCTATGTTACTCAAGTTAGTCTTAGGATAACCTTTACTAGGAGGGTTATATGCTTATATGGTTTGAAGTGATGATTGATACACTTAAATTACACCTTCCTTAAGACCTATAAGCGATCATTATCAAGTAAAGAACCTAACTAGTATGTTGGGCTTGGTCCCACTAAGAAAATTGTTTAGACTTAATTTTAACCCACAATGATATATGTTTAGTTAATGTCTTTCCGAAACAAATAAGTTTTGAAGGGGGGGGTTGTGAAACAATATTCTTCAATAGTTTAGTTTACAAGCGAACAAAAGTGAACTTTGGCTGTTATCAAGATAAGAAAGTAACTAGGGTATATGTGTTCCTCACAGGTTAATAACGAAGTATTCATAGCAATAGCAATCCTTTCTAAGTGTACTATATGCAAAGTAATAACTTAGGTATCTCTAAATCCTTGGTCCGACATCTAGAGAGTTTCACCCCGTATCTTGGTCCGGCTATAAACTTTGTTACAATAAGAATCATAAAATACACATACTTCCTATAGGCATATAAAATAGTAACAACATCACATAAAGCCACATATTACGTTTAAGGCATATTTAGCACCACTTTACAGTAACCTCCTTTTTCTTTAATTCCTTAACTTCAATCTTTCCTTAATTTCTAAACTTCCCAAGTGACCCTCTAGTGATACTCGGTGCATTGTATGAATAATGTCCCATTCAACTATCCACACTCAAGTATAACCTTAGGGCCACAAAGTAATCATACATACAACCTTCATTATGCCAACACGTACATTCATAAAACCTATAATAAGATATATATTTCACAATTGACCCGACACACTTTATGAACCACATAGAAGAATGCATTAGAATGTATCACATAAGTCACGACTATCAATATCATATCAATAAGATAATAGTATATCATTAACATAACCTCACTTTACTTTACATAGACCATCATAAGACTTTAATCAAAATACCAATATAAGTGTACTAGTGCAATGTACATGTGAAGCCCCATAACACATATACTAAGTAAACCTATCAAGGGACCACAAGCATTATCATTTATTCCATACATCAACATGACACTCTAGTCAAATACATGCATATCAAATAGAACATTCATCATATAGACACAATAGGAAACATACCATGTATATTATCATATAAGTGGACTAATAGTAGAGTATCACACATAAGAGACATATACATAGTAATATACATATAGAAATCTTCCTAGAACTTCCCTTAAGAGTAAGTTATGCAATGCATAGGTAAGTTCATTCCTCTCACCTACACTAAGCAACTTCCCTTAAGTTATCCTAGTTAGGGCTCATAATCATTTAGTATTATTGTCCATTTTACTTTAGGAAAACTTCACCACAATCGACATGAGACCATGGTTGTTAAGCATGGAATCCGGTGTCATAAAACCCACACCAAAAGAGGTTCTCCATTTGCCAAAGTAGAACATATACATCTAGCATCTAGGTGGATCCACTTGCTAGGTCCTATAGGGGCACATAGTTATGAATATTGGAGAAGATATATTAGAGACTTATAAATCCATTTACGTGGAAGCCTCCATCTTATTACAGTCATTGTGAACCTACCTTCTAACTTGGGAAGTGATACCTCTCATCACCAAGTTCTCTCGGTACTAAACTAATTTCCCTTAAGATTGAAAAGCCTTTATTAACTTTACTTCATAAAAATAGACTTTAAGCAATAAACTCCTCATGCTTATGGCTCATAGGTTATAGATTAGAATGTCCTTTCATCAACCTAACACATGTGACAAAATCTTTCCCATGGACATACCACACTTGAAGGATAACATAGTTTAGAGTAAAATTGATCAAACCTTTCAAAAGACCCTATCTATCTAGAATATCATGGCATGCTTCATTTATACATTTCATGGTTGTGTGTATTCATATATATGTGAAGACCTTTCACATGGAGACTCATGGATAACACACATTCATACTTTACTTCATTCATGTATAAGTGTATAGGTGTACATACATGCACAATCCTTTCATATAAACACATTTAGACACTTCGTGACCATACATCAATTCAGTAATTTCTTCATGACATAGTATAAACGTGCATAATAGGATTACTTCCAATCCGTCATGACATACATTATAATCATCTCGTATTTACAATGTTTATTCCTTAGTCATGCATTCATTACATAAGCACATAGAGAAACTACTCTAGGAACTATTCTATCAAGGAACACCTGTGCAGTGTATAGGTAAAGTCTCATACCCTTACCTACACTATTCAACCTATAAGGTCATCCTAGTTAAGAAACATCTTCACACTTTCAAACATATACTTATCATGCATAAGAGTAGACCCTAAGTTCATATGAGAAAAACCCTTATATTAACAACCATGAATCTAGTCTATTAATCAATATGCATGGAGTGTGTGTGTACATTGGGTAGCATGATCACATAATGTCTATCAACGTAAAATTGAGGCAGCTACCCTCTTAAGGCCACAATACACATCAAAGCATAGACCACACACCACATTATATCAAAGGAGACAAGACACCTTCACATTGCATCTACAACCCCTAACATAGGTTGAGAACACACATTCATATAAGGGTACATAGGTAGGGTCATACTATACAATAATATTGAATCATCAATCATGTAAACCAGACCCAACCAAACATATTCATTCACCTACTCATAACATTACCAGTACACCCTAGATCATAAACTAGAATGGAATCCTAGGCATAATACTTCACATTGGGTGATCATCATCACCACACATTCATAATACAATTTCCTTCATGGTCATAGTCATATAACAGATGCAATGACAATAAGGTAAACAAAGCCACCATAAGTGGAACATAACACAGAATGCGATTCAAAGCCGATTCAACACCAATTCTATCGAAAGTAGAAGGAATAGAAGACAGTCACTAATCATACATTTACATAAACGAAATCATACTCTATCAATATCTCAACAAGGTCACATTACACACATTATAGACTAAATTATAATTACGGGAGAAACATGGGTTCATCATGAAATTGGATTGAAATTCACTTTGAAATGAGTATATAATAATCAATTTATCATAAGCATGCTTTTGAAATCAATTTGAGAGAGAACCTATGGTGAGATAGAAAGATATAGAGTTTTATTAGCTTTTTAAATGAAGCAAACATGGAAACTGAGATTTCCAAGATAGTCTTTGTGCTATGTTTTTTATCACTAATCTCAAATCACATAAGTAGTGTGTTTTAATAACATGAGAGCCATTATATTTTGAGAGTACAATTGATCACTGACATGGGAACGAGCATGAGTTCAGATAACTCACATCTCCATAAAACCATGTAGCCACCATGGATAGAAAAGTGTCATACTTTCTAGATAAACCCTTTTCACAGTAGATAAGTGGATGCATTAGGCAGTTCAGGTCTTATACCTTTGGTCGAGTATAGTATACACCGGCAGCATATGGTAGATCATTATATCATCAGTATAGCTCTTAAGTGATGGTTGTCAATTAGAGAAACTCACATAGAAGTTAAACGTACTTATATATATATATACATCAGTTTATTTGTGTTTAATTAAATCATTTTTTTATGTTTTTAGACGTGGTTAGTCACTACTTAATCTTTTAAAGAAAAATCAATAAAACTTAGTTTTCAAAATATTTAAACAGAAAACTTAGTGAAAACTTTAAAGAAGGGGTTCGGGGGTTCATAATTATAATTTAGGAAGGTTTTTATGGTACCTAAAATATTCGTTATCTCGCTATTAACATACAACTAACTTTAATTGACTTAAAATAATTTAAACTTGATTTGAGATAAAGAAATTTTTTTAGAGTTGTTTCAAAGTGAAATATTAGCTTATTATCTAAGTGATTTAATTAACTCGCAAAATTTATTTATTATCATTTTTAAGTTTATTTAAAGGCTATGATTTAGTTGAAGTGAGTTAAAACATAAAGGCGTCTTGCGGGGGATTTGAACCTTTTAAACCTAAAACTAACGATAATTAATTAATCAAACAAACATGAGATAAAAAAGAGAGAGAGAGAGAGAGTCCGGTTGCGTCCAAGTCCGGTTTTTGTCCACCTGAACCGGTATTTGGACGCAATTTACTTTGGGCCTTAGGCCCAATTTTTCACCTGTCTTAAATTCCTAAGGAAATAATTAAACAGAATGACTAAGAGGTCTTAGGCCAAAATAACAAACTACAATTTTTTTAGAAAATAATACAGGTCGTTTACCCCAACTTCTTTGACTTCCCAACTTGCTTCGAATTATGAGTTTAACTCGGTGAAGGAATTTTGAGCCTTTGGTTCTCCCGACATGCAAGAGAAAGATATAAGAGTTCATGGCGAAGTCAAACAGATTTCACATGCGAAAAAAAAAATAAAGTTAACATTCAATAATAAAATCTTCGAACTAACAATAAATGAAGATTGACCGATCACTAAATAGTAAAATACATCGAATGAACGCAATTTATAAATATAGAAAAGAGCTGATTGTAATTATGAGTTTAGCAAATTCAATATATGAAAAGAACAGATTAAAGCAACCCATAGTTATCAAATGCTTATACCATTAACTCTTAATTTTAGCAAATGGATAAGTAAATGAAATAAGCAAGTAAATGGAGGCGCGGGAACATAAAACCATAACCAAACTTTCAAGTTATAAGTCAAAGAATAAAAGGTGAATAACAAATCAGTAAAATCATATATAACAACAACAAGTACATCAAATTTAAGGTCAAGATAATTTGTTGTTTATTACTCTAGGTAGCACATAAATCAGCCAAATACACCTCCAAATGATAATATTTAGATGATTTAAAATATGAAATGACAAACTTGAAACCTGAATCCACAGATATGAGTCAATAGCCCCCTCCCCCTCCCATCTTTGACTAAAGACTAACTAATTTAAACAAGGAAACTTCAGAGGAAACCTAGACAGTTGTTTGTCACATTTTAAAGTTACTATCACCCAAACTTTTAGCCTAATCAATTAATGATGGAGGGATCAAATTCTGTTTAAGGAATGAGGAGGCAGCTGAAAACCAATGAATCAAAGCATCACATAGATGCGAAGAATAAAATGTAATTTTAACATGTTGGGAGGTAAAAAATGAATATGAAGGCATAAATGCAATAATCTTTCTAACACGGATGAAAATCAACAAGGAAAATCGATATGGAGGATTCCAGCAGCTTGCAACATACAGCCCATGAAACTATTTTAGTTTGATCTTAGTTACGACATTCTCGAAATAAGCTATCTCAAATGAAGGGTAAAGATGAAGATGCAAACTCTAAAGTTGTTCGGCACAAACTATCGAAATATGAACAACTAACATGTTGATCACAACACTTGGCTTTCAATGCAAAGGGGTAACATCATAAAAATGAGGCAGCTCACATGACTTACAGTAGTTAAAATAACAAGAAGAAGAAAATGACCTATATGTCGTGTTACGAAAACCACAGATAGCCTATGGAAGGTGATTTCAAATTTCATGGCTGAACCCCAACTTTCTCAGCCAATCAAACAGGACAACATAAGAAATTCTAGTAATAACAAATGAACTTGAGGCCAAGGGGAATCCTCAAAACATCACAGAAATAGAAAAAGCAACAACATTTTGATAACAAAAGCTAATGCATTCCTGATTTGCAGTCAACTATAAGTTTAAATAATCTAAAAAAAATTAGCGTTGGACAGCTCAGATGGTCGAGAAACAATGATCGATACATAAAGAAAAGAAAGAGACTTGAAATGAGATGTGTATTACCTTTCGAGAGGGCAAAAAACAGAGGGAACAAGGGATTTATGCCTAAAATACAAAGAGAAAACCAGTTGCTTCTTCATGTGTAACTTTCATATACAACAGCCAAAACTTTTGGAAAAAAAAAACAAAGCTCAAATCATGATAAGATGAACCTCAAGTAGGTAGGCAAAAGAGGAAATAACGTTCAACAACCTTCAACAAATGGATTGGAGAAGAGAAGTATTAAATCACACTCAAACAAGAAGGAAAAGGAACAAAAATACCGGTCATAATCCAGTGACAATTTAAACTCGATATTACTGCGAACTTAGTGAATACTACTAAATAAAATATCACCACTGGAATATAACAACAAACAATTTCAGAGACAGATTTTTCCAACATCTCAGAGACCACTTCGAAAAGGTAAAAGAGGCGAGGAAGATATTATAAAGAAGAAACATTACCTTTTCTTTTGGGTAGCTGAACTAGGGACAGGACGAGCAGAGGAGACAATGACTTCACGACTACCAAAGTGCAACTCCAAGAGTGTTTATGAACGGAGAAGAATCAATACTGGATTTGAAGTTGCATTCAAAATCTATATGACTTCCAAAGCCTGTTTGCTAGACGTTTATATATAGCTAATATTTTGTTGTGATTCTTTGAGTCTTACTGAATAATTTCCCTTACTTTGTATTTCTTCTTTTTTTTATATGCGATATAAATTCCCTCTGTTCTTCCCCAAAAAAATTTCTAACCCAAAGAAAATGCAGCTAAAAATTTCTTGACAACTTTTCTCACACTAAAATTTTTTTCGACAAAAAAAAAAAGCACTGTTTCTCCACAAGAATCGTCCAACAACTCGTCAACCTTTTAACTCTATTTCTTCCATCCACTGACCAGGTGAAAGAGATGAAACTATTTATAGAACGAGAATTAGGTCGAATTTGGGGTAAACAAGGAGGGAGAATGGGGATCAAATTCGAATTTGAAATTCAAAAGTCTCTAAGAGATAAAGTTGTTGCTATGCTTCTGTACAATTTTAAAAGGGACGAGAAGAGAAGACAAAGAAGATTGCGGTACTACCTAGCTTGCTCATGCCGCAACTTCTTTCCGTCTACTCGCTCTTGCGTGAAGAAAAAAGAAGCGCGTACACGGGGTCGGGTGGTTGCTCACACTCCGTTGTTATTCATGTCGTGCATTGTGGTCGTTTTGTTGCTGCTTCGACTATCGTTCGGAATTTTTTTGACCGGGTCGTGTGAGAGGGAGTGGGTCGGCTGAGTGGAAAAATGAATATGGGACTCGGTCATTGCAAGGGAATTTGAGAAAAAAAGAATGGGCTCTGAAAATGTTTCAAGGGCCTCAAAATTTGATCCTTTAATATAGACAAATGAATTATCGATTAAGCCAAATTGAATTTCACTAATGAATTTGGCTAAAACCTAGATAGGACGAAATAATATAATTAATTTACGAGCTTATAAATATTAATGAAATAAAATAATTAACTAAATCATAAACTAATAACTCAAAAATAAGTATAAATTAAACTAAAGTAATTAATAAAATACTTACTAATATTAAAATCTTTTTTTTAGATTATTTTTAAAATATTTATAAATCACTACTTAAATAAAAAAACATATTGGTATTTAAAATTTATAAAGGCTAATAAAATTACTTTAAAATAACTTGAAAAACATTATAAATTTTATAAAGCTAACTATTTCAAGTCGTTCGAAATTAATGAAGCTAGAAAGTTCATTTATATACGGAGGTCCAAAATTTGGTGTCAACAAATGTACCTCAATTTACTTTGATTAACACAAGTAATTTGAATAAAATGAAATTGACTAATCTAATTTTGACCGACCACGTCTTTATCTTCTCCGAAAATGGTTTTGGTATGGAATTTAGGAATCATGGTCGAACCCTAAAAATGAGTTTCCTACATATCTCAGGCTATATGGGAATTTAGGGCATTTGTAGTTCTATATGCTTGAGTTAACGGACGATTTGAAAGAATTCAAAATTGATTCGATATCAAATTATTAAGATATCAGAATGTCCGAGAATAAGATTGTAAGAGAGAATGTTGGAGTACAACTGAGTTTTCAATATTGAGCTCGCCTACATATCCCTCAACTTAGTGAATAAGGATGCTTGTAGTTCAACTCGATCGGTAGAGAAGGCAATCTTTTATGACAAGATATCCTTCGGTTGGGAAAGAGTGACAAATAAATCGAGTGCGGAAAAGAGACTAACAACCTCGTAGTCATGAATGTGGAGCTCTTCACATCCATAACTAAGAACATACACGGATTAATCTCCAAATTAAGCTCTAGATGAATTGTCACTCACATTGGAAAGTCTCTTCCTGTGAACATCAAGAATTTTCCAGACGAAAAACATGAACCAAAAACCCTAAGAAAAACCGCATGCCTTTTCGTAGGGGTGTGGTTTGAATGTGGTGGAAGTCGTTCCTCAGCTCGCGTCCTAAGAGTTTGATACTCTTCTTCTGACTATGTCCCAGTTCACTGCTAAGAAAAGTTCCACATTGTGCAATATCCTTGTTGATGTTGTGCGTACATGGGTTTTATTTGAGAATCCATCCTCTTGGATGCTCTCGACAAAGTCTAAGACAACTTGTTAGTAGAAAAGGTAACTACAGAAGTGGTAGTATCTTTTATGATGCTTTTCAGTTACTCTTAATGTGAAAGATATCACATAAGTATGTTCAGTATATGCTTGCACACTGAAAGTAAATAATTAGTAGACATAATGTCTTTTTAGCTAGCGCTTTGAGTGAAAAATTAAGAAAGATCAATCATATAACAAATAAGTATATCTTAATGGATAAGAATAAACATCTTTTTCAATTAAATGAGAAATTAAAGAAGTATTGAGAGTAAAAGATAATGGATACACTTTTGAACCCAGTAAATCTATCACAACTCATTATTTTCTACGGATCTAGAGACGTCATTGCTTGTTTTCTGCATGACAAACTCTGGTGATCTCTACAACGAGCTAGATAGATCAATGATTATCCAATTGTAACAAGGTAATGGATTCCAACTGTAACAAAGTGGGTGGCTCGATGATTATCCAACTGTAATGAGGTGGATTGCTCGATAATATTCCGACTGTAATGAGGTGGATGCTCGATACATGTTTTAATTGTAACGAGGTGGATGGGTCGATAATATTCCAAATGTAACTAGGTGGATGGCTTGATGATAGTCCAACTTAATGAGGTGGATGGATCGATAATATTTCATCTGTAACGAGGTGGATGCTCGATAACATTCCATCTCTAAGGAGGTGGATGCTCAATAATAGTCCAACTGTAAAAAGATGGATGGCTCTATAATATTCCATCTATAAGGAGGTGGGTGGCCTCGATAATATTCTAACTGTAACAAGGTGGATGCTCGATAATAGTCAATCTATAAAGAGGTGGATGACTCGATAATATTCCAAGTATAACAAGGTGGGGGCTCCATAATATTCCAACTATAACAAGGTAGATGCTTGATAATCGTCCAATTGTAATGAGGTGGATGACTCGATAATATTAATACTGCAACAAGGTGGATGCTCAATAATAGTCCAACTGTAACAAGGTGGATGGATTTGTAATAGTCCAATTGTAATGAGGTGGGATGTCTCAATAATATTCCATTATAATTTAAACTAGGAACCTGAAATGGAAACACAAATACATGAACCACTTATGGGGTGGATCACCCAACAAAATTATATGCTAAGGTCTTTGATCGGCCAATCAAAACACATAATCCACTTATGGGGTAGATACTCAACAAATTGGAATTTTGACTCTCACATTGTCAACAATAATGTATGCCTAAATTGTTACGCGGCAAACATACTAAAAAATATATTGAAGTATATGTACGTTGAGACTATGATTCTCTCTTTAAAAGATAGAATTATGAAGGTGAATCACTTAATTCTTTCATATGAAAAATAAAGTCACTCTCATCTTCCTTGACAAAACTCAATAAGATTTGAGTTTGTTGAATTTATTTTCAATCGTTATCGAAAACTTGTAACGATTCAATAACTTTGACTTTCATAGAGATATTGCGGTTGCCAACATCTTTGTAATTTTATGTTGATTTCACATAATATTCTTACTTTATCAATACTATCATATTCAAACTCCAAACCAAATGTTAGTATCGACGATGAAGTAAAGAATAAAATTAAAGTTTAAGAACTAGATTAAGTTATTTGGTTTATCGAGTTTAGTCTATGATGAGCCTGATTGTAAATTTGATCATGCTCATAACTAGCAATCCTCCAACACTTTTTTCATGCAAATTTGATAGAATCTATTAGTGTTTGGCTATGATATTCTATTTATGTTGATGAGGCCACGAGAGGCGTAACGTTGTATGTTTCCACGCTTGAAAGATTTGACATTGCCATTTTTTGACTTCGTTGTTCCTGCATTCAAAGAAAAGTTCCTCATTTGAAAGACTGATTTGTGTTGGTCTTGTCTCTATGCTCTTTCTTGAAGTTGGCTTACACGCTCGTCCGTCCTATGTAAGATTGTTTTGAAGAAACTTTTCGGGGCCATCCTCAAAAAAAATTCCCGGTCTAAAATATAGAAAATTTCTCGTAACTTGCTCAGTTAATTTTAAGGTTGATCATTCTTGAAATTTTGAGGCTCCTTCTCAAAATTCTTTCCCATTTTGCCTCAATAACAATAAGTATAAGACTTCACAATTGACATTTTATTGTGGAATTTTTTAGATCATCTCAAAAAGTTTGTACGAGTTGCACATTTATACATTATTTCTAGTTTGATTCTCCATAAAATATAACATTGTGGAATTTTGAGATCCACCCAAAAAAATCTACTTATTTGCATGTTGAAATTTCAGTCTTGACTTTTTGAAAAAGTCCATTTTCGAATGAATTTTTGAGATCCTCTAAAAAATTTTGTCCCATTGTTCATTATAAAAGAATTGGAAATCTTTTTGGGAATATGATCGATCCGTTGTGGAGCCTACGTATTCCGTTGAAGAAGAAATCATGTCAAACATAGTCCCCCCCCCCACAAGGGTTAACAAAAATAAGATGTTTATAAAAAATTGTCGAGGCCGACATAGGCCGCCTACGTATCTCGTTCTTGAGAATTCAGGTTGAACGCAGTTCATTACAAGACATGTGCAATAAAATGGGGAAGAGAAAAAGGGTTAAATGCATTTTCAAAAGAAAGGTAACAAAAACTTCATATGCAGAATTTTGGCCAATGTTGGGCATTCTTCTTCTCGACCTTTGATGAGGAATATCTTTGAATGACTCAGTTCAGAAATGTCTTGTACACACTCTTGAGCATCCAATATGTTATCCCCTGAGGTGGTTTCCTCAATATTGATCAGATTGTTCTTTATCATGTTTTGTATCTCGTGCTTCAAGGTGAAATGATTCTCTGTGTTGTGTCCAACGGCTCCTGAATGATAAGCACATTTGTGGTCAGCCCTATAAAAAATTTCCAAAGGATTGGTTGGTCTTCCTTCTATAGGATCGAGCATACCCATTTCTTTCAACCTTTCATACACTTGAGTTTGAGATTCCCTTAATGGTGTAACTACTTTAGGAGCCTTCCTAAAGTTTTGATGGGGAATTTTTTTTTGTCATTGACATTTTGTTTTTGATATTTCTTTTGTGGAGCTGATAGTGAGCGCATATGGGTAGTTGTGACCATAGATACCTCTTCTTCTTTTCCTTTTGATATATTAATATAATTAGTTTTGGCAGCTTTTTCATTAGCTCGCAATGCGGTAACGTTTGTAATCTTTCCAGTCTTGAAACCATCTTCCAAAGCATCTCCCACTTTGATGATCTCGACAAAGTTTTGTCCCATCGTACACAACATTATTTCATAGTACTCAGGATCTTGAGTTCGAATAAATATTTCAGCTATCTCACGTTAAACATGGGAGGTTGAACTTTTGCAGCCTCATTTCTCCAACAAAGAGGATGCTCTCTATAATTTTTTACTTCTGTTTGATCTTCTCCAAGTAGTAGCGATCTGGGGTAACTTCTACGATATGTCCAAATCTTTCCCTGAAATCCTTTGTGAGTGCATTCCAACTTGTCCATTGTTTCAATCCCTTTGACGTAAGCTGCTCCAGAACTTCTTCAATTAGAATTCGACTGAAGAGATACTTCAACAGAGCTTCAATTGTACCAACTCCCACAAGTTGATCACAATAAACTTTCAGATCTGCTATAGGATTTCAAGTTCCATTAGTAGTAAAAAAATTGGCATTTTGAACCCTTTCAAAAGGTCTAAATCT